GTACAGGTTAAGGTTAATAAGAACAGGAACACGCCCCACGTTGTTGGGTTTATGGCTTGCGTAGGGCTTGCGTAAGATCACGACCCTCTCTGTGACCCAGTGACCCATGGCCGCCCACAGCAGCACCCCACCCAGCCGGCCAGACCACTCTCCGCATACGCCAGCCCCCCCTCCCCCCCCATGCACCCCTACCAGACCATACCATTGGCGGGGGGGGGGGCCGGGAACGCCAGACGCCTGACCATACATACCCTGTATCCCGCTAAGTCCGTCTGAATTTTCTCTACCCGTCCGTATAGTTTGTCGACAATTCCCCGTGAAATTCAGTAGGGCTATGACAATTAACAAAGTCCCGGGACAAACACTGCAACGCTGCGGTCTGTACCTTCCACGACCAGTATTCACTCCCAGATAGTTATATAAGGCTCTTTGCCGCGTACGCGATGCTAACAGCATCTGTATCCTTCTGGAGTCGGCCGAACATCAAGGATACTCATGGTCATGTGTGAACCGTTTTCATCCAAAATATTGTATATCATAAAGTCTTGTACTATTGACTTCTATAGCGGCGACAAATAGCTTCCCGCCGCCTTACTCCCGCTACTGGAAGCAGCGGGTCCACTCTAATATTTTTTTAAAGAAATGTGAATTTCTAAAGAAAAATAAAATGATTAAAATTCGGAATAAAAAAAAATTATCGAATTTATTTCGGAGATTTCGGAAACCTCATCTATATTTAAAGATCTTCTATATTAATAAATAAAAAATTATGGTAAATAATAAATGATGATATGAAATGAGAATCGAATTGAAATCGAAAGAATTTATATCTATATATTTCTTGGTATTTGGAAAAACCCAATTATATTTATATATGTAAAAAATATAAAATTTTCATAAACGAATGAATATCTCTTTCTATAATAAAATAAATACTGAATAATTGAAAAAAATATGTGTAGAAAATTATATAAATTCAAAAAAAAAAAGGCGGTCGTTTTAGATACGACCGAAATTCCGTGAGGTGGTTAGTCTCGCCAATTTTGTCTTTTTAATAGTTCTCGTTTTGAAAATCTCTTGTATATCTATTCCGTGGTATCAAAATTTCGAAAGGTTTGGTTTCGCGAAAATTATCCACCCGAAACGAGAATATTAGAAATTTTTTTAATAATTTGAAACAAAATTTCGCGACTTGTCTAATTGTGTCTAATTATTTAGTTCTATCTATCTCTAATTACTTATCTCTATCCACCTCTATTGTTACTTATATTCTTTCTCCCGGATTACCTATAAATCTATAGATAAAATTTGGAGTAGGAAACGACTTGCAAATTTAGATATATATATATAAGGAGATATATATATTATTTAAATCTTAATCGATAAAACAAATATTAAAAAACAGATCGTAAAGAGATTTCGGAAATATTATTAAAATCAAACCTAGCCCAACATATATACAAAATCCGAGCAAAATTTTGCAAGTATAATATAGAAAGGGAAGAACATATATAAATATATAAAGAATTGCTAATATTTGACTAATATTATACGATAAGATTCCCTCCTTCCCGGCGCGCCCATTCTATAATAAGAATAAAATATATCTCTATTTCTTATATAAGCCAAAATATATCGGAATATATATATATATCCCTTAATTTTTAATTTGCATCCGGTTGAATCAATGTGTGCTCTTCATTCAATATAACGAATGTGTCCTAAGGATTCTAGGCCGGTATTACAACATATTACAACCAATATTTTACGAAACAACCATCCCTTTCCCCATGAAAAATCTATTTCCCGAGGCGTGAGGTTGAGCTCAGCGAGCTTTTCGATCTAGTGCGCGTTTACAGGCGTAGTCCTTCAAGGGCTCCGGTCGCAGAAGAGATGCTGGCACAGGTTCCTGAAGCATCGTCTCCCTCGAAGACCAGCTATTCAATTATAAATTATTCGCTGCGCTGCTTGCTTGCCAGGATGCGAGGCTTCTGAGCAAGATCTCTGCCAGCCCGGCTGTTGCAGCCTCTCGTCGTCCTCAAAAGCTCATCTAAATGCCAGTCTCACCGAACTAGTGGCCCATCAATAACGGATCATTCTCTCTCTGAAGTAACCACACATACCAAAAGCATCCGAGGAACGCTCAAGCTTCAGAGCCATATCTTGCGGCAGCTCACACCATTCCTCCGAAAGGACATCTGGAAAGCTCAAGACTCCCGACAAACAGATGATCCTGAAGCTCAGAAGCAACACTTTTTGTGCTCATGTTCAAGATCTATATTCACGAGAGTGTCTTTTGCCCGGCCGTGTGTGAAAGCACTGGCGGCATCCGACCGAGCCCGCGAACCGAAGCTAGCAAAATCCATCGACATATTTCAACGCGGCGAAGCCTCGAAAGGAGCAGCGGCAAGCACGAGTAGACTCGCACAACTTTGAGGATGCGCAGCTTGGGTTCGCAGCTCCAATCCGAAATCCGTGTCGGAGCTCACAAGTCAGTCCCGGACTCAAGACAGCAGGCACTGCCAAAGGCGAACACGAGCGGCATTGACGTAAGATGCTGAATGTGGTCGACCGCTTTGGGACCCGAATCTTCAAGACTTCACGAGTGTCGCAGCCCCTGCATGCAAGATCCTGGCAAAAAGCTGTCCGTGTCACAACGATTCACAACGGTCACAACCAACACACTGGAGGGCCCATCTTGCTGGGCTGCACCAGTACGTGTTCGCAATTTGGACATCTAAGAGCCTAAGAACTCAAGACCATAGCCTTCCAGAAAACGGCAGGGGGGGCGGGGAAACTTTCGGGGGGGTTAGGGACAAGTCTTTTACATTGGGGGTATCATGTGACACACTGCGGTGTTCATAACTCTTTCCATCTCTGAGGGTTTTGCGTCCAGCAAACCTGTTCCCAGCTGGTGGCGACAGAGGTTGGGTTCACAGACTGTGACTTCGGTCTTTACTAGTGTTGCTAGAACTGGGTCGTGAGCTAAAGCTAGAACTCGAGCTGTGTACATTACAAGCCTTTGGGATCTTCGAAAAGTGGCTGGGCGACGAGGTGTGCCTAGTGTGAAAAGGTTCGGGGCTTCAGCATGGGTTCAGTATGGTTCAGTGGTGCGAAAGAGGTGGTCGAGGAGTAGGGGTATGCATCGACTGATCCAGAATTAAACACACCTCGGACCCCTGTGGCTCCCCACCTGTTTAACGTTTCCCCCCCCCTGCACGGAAGCATTTGCTAGCCAATGCCGCCTTTTTGAACACACCTCTGACCCAATCGCCACCGTTCAATACGCCTGACCCACCAAACACACCTGAGAGCCCTGTGGCTCCCCGTCAACGTTATCCCGGACCACGGCCTTGGAGTTACAAAGCCACAACGATCCCGAGCCGATGCCTCGTGCTCGTTCACTGCTACCGTTTTATAGTAGCATTGTGTAGTATTCATCTAGCAAGGTTTAAAGGCTAGGTGTAGACGAGGCTCTACACCATCCTGCCATGAAGATGATGCAAACAAGTTGCTTGAGAAGTGCACATCACCACACACTCACATACCGGATGCCCGCTGCCTGTAGCAAAACAGGTCCGGATGTAACGCTCAAACAGGTGCCCATGAAGGTGGCCGCCCCCCGCTTGCAAAAACTTTAAGGGGAGGGCGATGTGTTCATGTTCAAGTCAAGTCTCTGACTGGCTCAGAGTGAAAGCACAGCCGGCATTTGACCGAGCCCGCGAACCGGAACTCTGCAAAATCTAACGAGGTGCTGCAATGCTGCGAACAAGCACAAGTAGACTCGCACAACTTCGGCGATGTGCTGCTTGCTGCTTGGAGATTCGCAGCTTCAATCCGAAATCCGTGTTGGGGGTCAGAAGTCGGTTCCGCCGAACTCAAGACAGCAGGCACTGCCAAAGGCGAAAACGGGCGGCATTGACATAAGATGCTGAATGTGGTCGGTCGCTTTGCGATGCGAAAGGGAGCCGAACCTTCAAGACTTCACGAGTGCCGCAGCCCCTGCGTGCAAGATCCTGGCAAAGAGCTGTCCGTGTCACTACGGTCACAACCAACACAACCCTGATGCCCCCTTAGCTTGAGCATAATCTTGTCCTCTCCAGTGAGTGCAGTGCTCTACTCACTCTACTCTCAGGACCATGACATCATGGCCTTCCAGAAAGCGGCCTCGTTGGTGCTGACGTTGCCTTGCTGTGGCAGAGGCACAGCAGCAGCCCGCTCTTGAAAGGAGCGATTCGCTGCACCCGCCCGGGCCCCAAGGAAGGCAGCGATCCGTTGGAGAGCCGCCTCTCCCTGACCAAAGCAAAACAAACACTGACACCAGCCGTCCTTGCAAGTCTACGTGACAGCAGCTTGGACCTCTTCCATCAGTGTATCGAGGTGCACCAGCTTCATCTGGTACACAGCCACTCCTTCCCGAGCGTTACACAATGCTCCGCCACACGCATTCTACAATTGACTCCGCTGGATCTCGGTATTTTGTCTGCGCCACGGCTCCTTTCGATTCCAAGTCCTGCATCTTTGGCACGACATGGCCAGACTCGAAGGAGAAGCCACATGAGGTTACCTCGGAATCATCAGGAAGCCTGGGCGAACAGACGGCAGAGACAAGTTTCTGCAATTTGGGTGGAGAACCGAAAGAAGTTGAAACATCCTTGCAGCCACCTGTAGCCTCCGAAACAAGACCAAACGGGGTGGCTGCGAGTTCGTCATCAAGACCCCAAAACGCTTGCTAAAGATACCGTAGGCTTCACCAATGCAGTAGCCGAAGCAACATGAGCACATCGGCATTTGGTCTTTTTGGGGATTCACTGCCGAGGCCCCCGCCCACTCTCGGCTCTAGGACTTAAGTGGCGGCAGGGTGATGTGAGAATGGTTTCAAACAGACGGGTCTGTAGTACTGTAGCTCTCGACGGTGTGGGGACGAAGAGGTGCTTCTGCATTCGTGTGCCTACCGATTTCGAAGCTCGTTGCCTCTGCTGTTGTCCTTGCCACTGCCGAGGCCTTCTTTGCAGCTCTCTCGTTGCTGCACTTGCTTGTGCACAGGTCTTATCTTATTAACTTCCCGGTAAAGAGCGTGGCAACTCCGCGGGGTTCTTACGCTCAGCGTCAGTAAACGGACCCCGCGGTGCCCGCTTTCGCTTGAAACCACTGGGTTTCAGCACTCCCGAAGCTCGTGAATCGCGGTCCCGCCACGGTGTGTACGTTTTGGACTGTTTTCCCACAATCCCAATCTCATTTTGGCCTTCAAAGCGGTCGAAGTCGCCCAAGTCCTGACAGTGCAACACTGCTCGGCCCCTCAGGCTACTTGCTCAAGTTTGCCAGAGTGACACGAGTACTTTGGGTCAGCCTCTCACATTGTCTCACAATAGAGTCGCTAGCTCCTTCGAGTTTTCAGACGTCGGGTTCAAACTGCAGCTGAAGACACAATGCCACCTGGTCTGCCTAGCATTGCTACCTCCGAGGCCCTAGGCGACCAAAACCGACCAAACATTCGCTGTTTGATCCCTTGACCTCGCCTTCTACATTCATGACTGCGGAAAAGGAACTCTGCAAGGGTTCTTGGAAAGCAGTTGGTCGCGCCAGCAAAGAGCACGTGGCTTTTCAGCCAATCAGCCCAGTTCCTCGCTTAGCTGCAAATTCTTTGGGCACTGGGCACACCCAACGTTGCTGGCGTGCTTTTCACTGATGCCACTAAGAGTAATTAGGGGCACAGTCATTAGCAGTTACTTTGCCAACTCCAAGAAGGTCCAACATTTGTCTAAGTGTCTTGACAATCACCAACAACTTCACGTGCTGCATTTCGGCCAGGATAAGTCTCCCCCGCTCCTGCTGAAGCAGATGCGGCTCTTTGAATCCTGCTAGTATTCGCCGCTTCCGCCTTCCAGTTTTTGCAGGATTCTGGGACAGGCTGTCTCGCCTGACCAAGTGCTCTAGGTTGGTCCGCCGGAACAGGTAGTGGAAGGCACCCTCGTTGAAGGAGTCGGTCTTGTCACGAAACAGCTCAAGCTGTGGATGCGTGTCCAACCATGCCGCAAGAGAGCTGGTACCGCTCCTTCCGAGACCGATAATGGCCCAGTCGACAGGAACTTCTGAGCGATGCGCAAGTTCGGCAATTTTGAGGCTGCCGGCATCTATTTCCAGTTCTGGGTGCAAAGTCCCCATCTGGAAAGCCAACCACCAACGAACCAACTGTTCCCTTGCAAGGTGCCAGTGCGTGCTCATAGACGGCAAGCACATGCCTAGCCTTAGTTGCAGAAGCGACGCCCTGTCTTCGGTGTCGTCAAAGACAACATGTTCTACCAAGAGGTCACTGGAGGAAGTGGCATAAGGTGAGCTGGCATAGTACTTATCCCACCCGCCCGGCTGATAAGGAAACACAGCCGGGAAATTTGTCCGAACCGAAGACTGGAGATGTAAGTCCCAAAAACCCTCCAAACAGCCGCAAGCAACACACACACACACTATTGGGACATGAGCAACACTGGCAATCGTACATGGGGCACACAATACAACGCCTCTTGATGTGAATTTTTATGCCGGCCTGCAACCTGACGCTGGCTTTCGTCTGTTGTAGTTGCATGCTCGCCTTGCACAAAGCTTGCAAAATCATCGCCTTCCAACTCTGGGTGCAAACTCTCGTGGGTCCGTGCCCTTGGCAACTTGAGGCGGCGAGGTTGTGGGTGATCGGAAGTGTCATATCTGTGACGCCACTACTTGCTACAGTGTAGTGTAGGGGTCTCCTGCTCACACATGGCAGGCCACGCATGCTCGTGCATAATGCCGGACTTTCTCACAACCATCTCGTTATGGCAGTCCCGCAGGAACGGACCAGGGGGGACTGACGCGGTTTACCCCTGTACACATAATTCTCGTGATGAACCCACATTGCAGCTTGGTGCCACGGATCGCGCTTTGCAAATTGCCAGCTGTTCATTACAATAGGTGCATCATGGTGCATCCTGTCGGCTCGTATCCGACTGCATCTTCAGCGATGGCATTGAAATAGACTCCAATGTACATGCCATGTCCAGCTTTGCATTTCCGATAATGCCAAAGAGCCACCTGAGGAGTTGCTCTAAATTTCCGGCCTTGAGCAAGTTTCCCATTCCCCGAACATGTTGTTTTACCCAACATCCAACTTGAGCGAACCTGGGCAGCACCTGGCTGTGTCCCACCAGGCCAATCCATGGGCAAACTTCCTTGGTGAATGAGGTCATCTGGAACAGAAGTCTAGCTGTACAAACAAGCACAAGGACTGCAACTCGTGGAGCTGTGGGTCTGACTTGAGCACCAAATAACTCCTTGTAAAAGGTGCTGTCGGACATCAGACGCCATAGATCTACGACCGCGTAGCAGTCAGAGAGGAAGAAGTGGAAGTGCAAATGATGTCTGCACTTGTCCTCCCGCTGCAGTTTGACTGTTCAGAATAATCTCGAAACAAGCTGCAAAATCTGTGGCCTCGAGATTCTCAAAGGTTTCGACGGTTTCGCTGTTGATTAGAGCCATGCACGGCCCAGCTCCAGGATGGTGGCTTCCTTTGCCTCGCCACTCCTGTGCTCAGTTGGCTTTAAGACTTTATTTGCGCTGTACCTAGGATCCTCTTATGGGGAGCCTTGCATTCGCTGCCAAGGTTTGGGCCCTCTACAGAATTTCGCAAGGAGTGATGTCCATCAGCCGTGGTAACGCCAAGTCTGCGAATGTCTCCGTGCATGCCATTGGGACGCACGCCTCAGCAACACCACGGTGTGGTAGAATGGCAAGCAATCACCAGCCATCTCTGGCCGCTAGCTGGCACAGAACCAAGGCGCCCCGACGTGAACAAGCTGGTTCATGTCTTGTGAAGCAGCCATCTCCCGCGATCTGGTTCCCTCGGGGGCAAAGAAGTCGTCACAATGATCAATGCTGCGACAGAAGCACTGATGTGCACCACCGCACGCGCTTTGTGCTGTCAAGGCACGATGAGGTAGAATGGATGCAACAGCACCTCCTGCATTCAGGAAGAATACCACCAGTGTCCACACAAGGTCTGCTTCACCGCTGTTCAGAAGAACACGGCCGGGTCGGCTTGGGGTGGCGGAGTTCAGTTTTTGTGTAAGCTCAATCTTGCTCTCGGAATTCGAACTACATGACCGCTGGTGCCTCACGCTCCTTGCCACAGTTAGATTTGACGGAACTTCCTCCGGGTTTACACCCGCGTGACGGATTGAATGCCCGAGCGCCCCCCGCGAAAACGACCACTTCCGCTGAAACCAAGCCATGGGTCATGCTGCGAATGTTTCTGTGAGGCGAAGGTGCGAATCCTGATAGCGACACGATATATAGCTTCGTCTGTGACGCTAGGGGGCATGTCGGGGACGGGACACTGGGGACGCTGGGGACGCCAGCGCTGGACGCTGGGGACGCTGGGGACGCCGAGCAAAATTGGACGACGTCGTCGTAGTCGTCCGGAAGTTGCGACCTAGACTTGGCAAGGCTTTAGAGCTTAGGGTCTACTCCGGGTTTAGGGTTTTTTCCCTCCCACATAGCAAGGACGAGCCCGCATTGCAGGGATAGGTTCGGTACAGAGGCAATACTACGGTAACGTGAAGACTGACAGGTCACTAAGACAACAGCAGTTTACACACCAATTGGAGAGTGGCAACACGCCGTTCGGCGTCTTCAGGCCTTTAACAGCACGCTGCACCTAGTTTCATGCAGCGACATGCAGTCTCTCTCAGACGATCACCAGGACTACGTTCACCTCGCCTTTTTGCATAGACGACTACACCAATACAAGGTAGCGAACACCGCCACTTCGCATTGATATAATCATCGGCAACCACAGAAAACCTGTAGGAGGTTGGGGCTTCAGCCTGGTACAACTGTGAACTGAGTCTGCACGAATCAGCAGAACAAGCCAACAGCATCGGCTTCGTAGTCTCCCGGTCGTTGCATTCAATTCGGTTTTCCTCATTTCAGTGGCGTCTTTCCACTCAAACACTCCATGCCAGCACCAGGTACAGAGTTCGCACTTGATTCTCCATTTAATTCGCAGCAACTTTTGTGGGAAACGGCTTCCATGCACTTGCGGTTGGTCATGATCTGTATTGACCTTCAGCGTCCAACTGTGATGAAACGCCTGGCAGATGTTGAATTCAAGTGCACCAAGACACAGCATGAGACCAGTCAACGTTGGTGTCCATGTGTGGTGTCTATATGTTTGCTGTCATCCCATCTCCAAGTGTGCTGGAGGCGGCTCGTCAAGGTTACTGCAGGAGGCAGCATGTCAGCACGTCAGATATAGACATCCAGGTATAGGCAGCCAGCGCCACAGTCAGGTCTGGGTCTCAGTGCTTCTGAGATATCAGCGCATCAGCCCACTTTCGGATGGGCGAGCTGCCATTGCAGAGGTATTTTAAGTCTCCGAAATAGTAGCCCTGCTATCAACCCCGTAGAAGCAACAAAACCAACACTTGGTCTATGGACACAAAGTAGTTCATAGGGCCCTGAAAGCACGGCACGGGCAGTGGTCGGGGAGGTGTACGAGCAACGAGTGAGAGTGGACTGATGAAAGCAGGCATGGTGATGGAGGCGAATTAAAGGGCGAATTAGGATTACCACCAGTATTGGGGGATATCCCTTTATGCATGCAGAATTTGGTGGTCGCAGTTCACTGGGTCTTCGCATGAGATGAACCTGATGAAAGCAAGCATGGTAGTGGATCGAGGCTCGTGCAAGGATGGACCTGATGAAAGCAGGCATGATGATGATTCAGCGAAAGTGGAAAGGGGCGGGAAGAACCCGAGGATGAACCTGATGATGTTGGCATGAGATTTGCCGGGGCGTACTAGTGTATTACACACAGGTGGGGGTTATAGTTAGGGAAGGCGAGAAGACTACTAGCTCAAGAAGTGATGCGGGTACTTCAGGAGGTGACTAGTGTCGTGGGGCAAAATCTACTTCACTTGGCACTGAATCAACTTCGACCACTTCATCTTTATTCAGGTCAGATATCATGAGGGGCGCCCGAGTGCATGAGCCAGAATCCTCATCATGGACTGACGTCGGCATGAAAAAGGCGCCAAGGTAGTTTGCTTGAATGTCTCGGGCGCATGGGGTGTGTAGATACCAAGTGATAAATAAGACTTTGGAGGATAGGGGAGTGGGGCATCGCGAGTGCAGGGTGGTGAAGGCTACCAAGTCCAGTCTGCGTTTGCCTTGCCAGGGCATAGTTGCATGAAGGGTTCCTCTAGCGTCAAAAGTGTACGCTTGTTGATGTACATCAACTGTTTTGCCTAGGACTGTGATGTCATTGTGCTGCATAGGTACGTTGCCTTGTGGGTGGGCTAGCCACAATTCTCCACCTCGCGTAGGTTCTAGGCAGTGGATGTAGCTTAAATTTGTCCCGTTCCGAATGTCTCGATGGGGTTGGGTTTGGATATTCAACCTGATAGTGAGGGTGCTAAACTCGAAGTGGGAGCGGGTTTAGGGTTTAGGGCCTAGGGTTTAGGGTGAGTCTCTGTTTAGGACTTGGTTTAGGGTTTCTTTTCGGTTTAGGGTTGTGGGGAGTGGGGGCTTTTTGGGGTTTTAGGGTTTAGGATGTGGGCAGTTGGGGAGTTGTGACTTGGACTTAGGGTTTACTGTGAAAAAAGCCCGAAGTTGTTGGATTTAGGGTTTAGGGTGGTTGGTTTCCTCAGGTTCTATTGAGCTTTGGGGGCTGCTACAGCATTTTATGATAAGGGCCTAATCCTTTAACTAGGGTTTTGTGGCCAATGACTATGCAAATAAAGAAAGGTAGGATCAATAGTCCAGGGAATGTTTTTTTTGCGCACGGCGTACGACCGGCTTCCAAGTCACACCTCTTACATGATCTGCGCTGCGAGGAATGTGGCGTCGTCCGAAAGGTCAGCCATTCCGCGAGTGTCTCCCTGGACCGTTTCAAGGCACCGACCGAATGCTAGTCATCGGCAGTGAACCACTGCCGCAAGTGGCATGTCACCGCACACCCGGCGCAGGCCGCTTCCGGGCCGCCTGTGCGCTGTTATGCATGTCGACGAGCTCTGTGACGAAGAAGTGGCCAAAAAGCCGGCTCATGTGTCGGAAGGCGTGCTTATACTGCGAGAACCACTGAAACAAGATTTCGCAACCGCTTGTACTCACATTCTCGAGAGTCTCCTCATGCGGCGGAAGCGTTGGAGAGCAGTTGTCACGGCACCACTTGTCTGTGTGTCCTTCGTAGTGGAAGCGATCCACGATGAACCGAAAGGGCCGGAAAACACAAGTGGGGGTAGTCGGACATCCATCGCTGCATGAAGCGCCTGAGATGGCAAGTGTCGTCATGCACTATTGTCTGTACTGTTGGATGCTGAGCCAGAATCTGGGAGACAAAACCAGCCAGCCACCGGAACGTCGGTTGAGCCGCCGCGGCATTTTGGATGTCCTGCACGTCACGAAGTCACCGCAGGCGTCCGTATCCACATCCTCGAAGCCCCGACGCTGTCTGTAGGCCGCCTGAGATGTGGCTCGCACTGCAACTGCAAGCTGTAACGGCGGCGGTGTCGCGATCGCAGCTCCGCCACAGTGTGCCTGCAGGAGCGTCGCAGGTTCCGCAGCCAAACAGAGTCGCTTGCTCACTCGCACTTGCTCCGCCGCGGGCCGCTTGCCGCGTGCTCTTGGAGGCGGCGGCGGCAGATGTTTCTTGCAGGAGATTCCTTCCCTTGAAGACACGAGTTTCGCCACAGTCCTGGTAGTAGTGCAGATTGGTGCCCTCCACTTGCTGGATGGAGAACTGGCAGAAAGCGGGACGCGTCATCTTCTGGTTCCCGTCGATGACGATTAATGTCGGCTGTCCTGCTGCCAGGCTTCGTGCCCTGGATGCCCTGGCCATGCAACGGTCGTACTGGTCTTTGCCTTGGTTCCAGCATCTTTGCAAGCTTCGGGAACCGCCGCCCTAAACCCGCAAGAAGGTCGAAACGCAACCAGAAGGTACAAGACGCAAACTATTTTAGTATTAGTATTCGAATTAGTATTCATATTAGTATTAATATTTGTATTCATATTAGTACGAGTCTTGGTATTCGTATTATTAGTATTCATTTTAGCATTAGTATTCGGATTAGTGTTCATATCGGTATTAACATTGGTATTAGTATGAGCATTCGTATTAGTATCAGTATTTTCATGAGTATTACTATTACTATTACTGGTACAATTATTCCAAGATGCACTTGGCAAATTGGATGGCGAAGGGCTCGCTGAGCACGAACGGGTCCGCACAAGGCCAACGCTTTCTGAGCTGAAGCTTCAGCCATGCCTCTTCCAGCATGCGAGGCGCCGCCCGCGGAAACACTGCGTCCAGACCCAAGACTTGTGCTTCAGACGTCCAGGATGCGTGCTGCTTGAGCATCCGCAAGGAGAACTGTTCATGCCAGCTGTTGGTGACGCCGAAATTCGGCGACAACATGCGCACATCTCGGTGACTGCCCGGCCACACGCCAGACGGACCATCCAGCCACTCGCGAACATTGTCACGTGACACGAAGTTGGCCCATATGAGCCGTCCATAAAGTGGGCACGCTCGGGCAGAACATCGAAAGCAACCATGGATGACAGTGACCACACCGCTGGAAGCCACCACGCTAGCTTCTCTTTCAAATCTCTTGCCGAGTTTTCCGCCACAGCGCGGGCATGCGTGAGCAAAGTGTACACGCCGAGGCTCCGGGTGTGCGATGGCCCTGGCGCAAGAGTCCAGCACATCAGGGGCCACCAAGCATGCCGGATCACACGCCTGAAGTGCCTCTGCGGCCTGCTCGTAAGTCCATTCCACCATGGCGGACCATGGTTGCGCTGGAGGTTGTCCACTACATCTCGTGCATGTTTACGGTACGGCGCATAATTCTTGCACGCCATTTGGAAAACGCATAAAACATGCCATCTAGACTGTGTCTGGCAAGTAAGCAGCAACTCCCTGCAGTCTC